CGTAAGGGAGGACACAGGGAGGATTGTTCAAACGGCAGCAACCTTCAAAGATCAAGCAGGAGTGGGTCTGTCTGTCGGTGGGGCCGCCAAGCACCAGTCAGGGACCCCACCGCTCGTATGTTGCTGAGTTGCATAAACAAACAGCAACAGCTGCTTTGGCTACCCCTGCTTCCCTCTGAGGACCGCCGTAAACTTTAGTTGTGCCAATAAGATACAGTCATTCTCTAACCCTAATTGTCAATGGCACCAACACCAGCAAATGTGTTTTTGGGGAAGGGGGACTTGCTTTCCTACATGACTCAGGGAAGGTTAGGGATGGGATGTTGGATGTTGTGGGCGGGGCGCATGGGCTGGGTATTCAAATATTATTGGCTCGTATTAATTGGATAAGAAGTGTTAAGAATTCCAGGTTATTTTAGAATTTTTTATGGTGTTTATGGCGAGGGGATCTTTTCCTAAGTAGAGACAGCTATCATGGGACATGGGATTGGGACTTGCCTGTAAGCGATGCCACAATGGTTTACTAACTTCTCAACACATTTTTATCTTTCTTTTCTCTTTATTTTTAACCCCAAGAGGACTTAAATTGTCACTACCGGTTTTGTTCAGATTCACGTATTTTTTAACATGGTTGGCAAGCAAATGTAACATCTATGAATAGAAGGTGGGTTTTTTCCACACAGGGAGTTGGATGTGATGCATGCAAATTGCCAACACATTCCCAGGTTAGTTTATATAAAAAAAGACATTGGTAGTGAGTGAGACTCAATAATAAGTGTACATGTCGACTCTGTTTATGAAATGTAAGGAAATGGTGGAATGTATGACATAGTACTGCATAAAGGAAATGCTTGATTTTAAAGAACATAAAATCTACTAGTTAAAGTGAAATTAAGGAGCAGATAAAATGTCTAAATTGGAAATTAACATAATCATTCGATCGTGAACATAAGACTGCAAAATCATATCAGACGGGGCCATCAAAAAACCATTTAGGGCCTCAATTAAAGTTATTACCATTAAAAGATCTGCATCTTCAAAATGCCATGAAAAATTAATAATGATTGCCAATCAAAATGATATATTTTCCTCCAAGGGAGTGAAGGGGAAGGGAAGGGGAGAGGAAAAAGTGATTGAAAAAAGAAGAAGTGAGAAGTGCATATGATCCTGAAAGTGATTGAAAACAGCACCAAAAAAAAACGAGGGCATATGATCCTCACCTGATCTCTGCCGGGCTTGTGCGTGGCCATATGTCGCTCAAGCTGAGTGCGGTAAGCAAACGTGTAGTTACACAGGGGGCAGGCGAAGTTCTCCTCATTCTTCTCATGGCGGTACTTGATGTGCTCCTTGAGCGATGTCAAGCGCTTGTAACCCCGGTCGCAGTAGGGGCAGGTCAACAGTTGGGCGAAAGCATCTGGAGTTCCAGGTGGCAGGTCTGGGTAGGGGAGACGGGGGGAGAAGGGGAGGGGGTGTTGGGGAGGGAAAGCGGTCCAAAAGGTCAGCAAATCAATGGCAGCTAATGGGCGTACTGCCCGGAATGGTATGGGAGGTATCACTGCAATCTGCTCTACAGAGTGCCATCGTCTCAGGCTGGCATCCCTGACACACACACACACACACACACACACATATGCACACGCACACACACATACAGACTCTGCTCTCTCTCTTATTTTATAACACATACTAAGACACATGGAAATTCAGACATACTAAAATGAATTAGCTTTTAATTGACCTATAGAATGTGTTGCATAATATACTTTTAGCTTAAGTAATTGTGTTGTTTCTTTGACTTTCGACACAAATTAAACATGATATCTAATCTTACACTGTCTTACACTGATATCTTACAAATGTCAGTCTGAAATAAAGCACCTTGACCTGGTTTTTAAGAACACTACCTTACCCAGCCTCCCCCTCGTCCTTCCTTGCTCCCCTTAACCATAGTTCCCTTGCCTAATTGCTTTTAAGTGACTTATTTAATACAATTTTTCTCACACTTTCATCATTTCTGAAGTATGTATCATAAATCCATTCTAATTCAATCCCTGTTCCCCCGGGGTCTGGGAGGTGTACTATCTTATTTCAGACCTCTGGCAGCTGCTGCTGCTTAAAGACTGAAGGACCGAAGGTAAACACAGAGGCATCCAGTGAAGAATCTGTGAGACCAACAGCTGCCCATGTCACTGAGCCACAGAGACGAAGAAGAGTCCAGCCACACCACTGCTGCTCTGTTCTCTTCTGCTGGCGTATGTAGCAAGAGTCTCAAAAGAGGAGTGCTGATCCAGGATCAGCTCACCCCTGTCTATGTAATCTTATTGATTGTGATCTAAAAGGCAAAACTGATCCTAAATCAGCACTCCTACTCTGATACGCTTTATACATACAGCCCCTGTCCCCAGTTCTGTTCTTGCCCTCCCTGGCTGGTCTCTGGATTCTTACCATTTTCCTCCTGGCTGTTTGTTTCAGGCACTTCGGGCGTGCCCAGACGGGACAGCTCCTCTCCCTCGGGTGCTTCTGGGTAAATGATGGCAGTGTCACCCCGCTGCAGGTACTCAGCGATGCTGACCACGTGGCTGTGGCTCTCGCTCAGGCTCTCCTCCTGGAGCTTACTGCGCTTAGCGAAGAACTCCTCAAATTCTGAAGTGCAATCAACAACATTCTTAACTGAAAAGAAGAAGGGAAAGAGAGAAGGGGGAGGGAGAGAGAGAGCCAGAGAGAGAGAGAGAGCCAGAGAGAGAGAGAGAGCAGAGAGAGAGAGAGAGAGAGAGAGAGAGAGAGAGAGAGAGAGAGAGAGAGAGAGAGAGAGAGAGAGAGAGAGAGAGAGAGAGAGAGAGAGAGAGAGAGAGAGAGATGGGTTTAAAAAAATTGGATTCTTCACTCCCCAAGAGAAATGTGTGTTACAGCAATTCTGGGAACATGTTGGGTCTAAATGTGATGAAGAAACACCACAATAGACATTAAGGTAGTAGTTGTGGGAGAATACATCTGAATTACTGTGTTATCTTGTCACACAACAGCCACTAAAACAAGAAATATGAGTTAATCTTAGAAAAGTACCACCTTAAATCATGGGAAAGTATTTTAGATAAACATATTGTATTTACTTGAAACGTATTACCAGTTACACAATAAATGTGGGGAACACAATTTAAACTGGTCAAATTACTTCTAATTTTCCTTATCATACGTGATATGAAAATAATTTGTATTTTACCATTTTGAATCTTTGAGATTATCGAAAGACATCCATCTATTTAATCAAGCCTCAGTGTTTAAGCCTCTCAATTAACATTTTATTTACACATTGTGTAGCAACAGTACAATAAAATTCCCTGTGGGGTCAATAAAAGGGCTCTGGTTAGTTGATTGTCTGTGGAACAGATTACTGAGGACAAACCACAATGTTGCACAAATAAAGCCTTACCATAGTCAAGAAAGTACTTTCTAAAGCTGTCTTTCTGAAATTGCTGAAGTCACACATTGTGTTTTTTTTTTCATATTCTCCAGTCCCTTCTCTTTGGGGAATCCCAAAGCTGCAGAGTAGAGATAGCTGGCTCCAATAGCAAACAAAGCTAATCAAAATCTGCAACCTTTATTAGTCAACAGAAGATGATAGACCCTCAACGGTTCACCTTAATTCAAAGCTATACCATACAGCATTCCAACAACCTGAGGCAAGTCTGTATTCTATTACCCCCTATCAATATCACTGTTATAACACTTGTCACATATAACATTGTTGTGCTAAATGTTACAGGAAGTCACACAAACTGTTTTATTTGACTGGATTTAGATAGTTACTTATTTAATTAGACATTTCCAAGCCAAGGTATATTTTTATAATGTGATTCGTTCAGTGATTATTTTATGGGCCCAATTTGTGAAAGGTCAAGGTAGTGGATTTGGTTGTCAAAAGTGGCATGAAAATGTCACTGGTGCCAAAGGATCTTTTATTAAATCGTATGAAACAACTGTTAACTAGGCAGCTCAATTTCCTGCATTCTCATTAGGACTTTGTGTAAACTATTTGAGAATCATTTATTGTAATTTAGAGACACAAAACTGTGAGGATGCTTGAGATCTCTATGTTGGATTCACAACTCACCGTTGAACAAATATGTATCTTAAGGTTTCAAAAATACATCAAAAAGATCAAATTTAGACTAATTAGATTTAGCAAATGAAATGTAATTTAGGATGTCACTGTATTGCCAACAAGCTACAAGCTCAACCTCATAATGCCTCCTTTTAAATGTCCCCTCTAAAATAACAGGGGGTAATTTCTTCTCTGTAATAGAGGAAATCACCTGGATAAAAGAGTGCCTAGGTGGCAAGACATGATTGCATTTTTCATTTCATAAATGAAGTCACATGTAATCTAGTGTGGGTTTTTTCTTCCAATGCAGTGCCTCTACATTGTTTCCACAGCCTCAATGTCCTGAATGGAAACATTTGCGATGTCTAAATCTCCACACAAAAAGTTACGACACATGCACAGGAACGCGTGTGCACGCACACTCACAAACGTGCATGCTCTCACACACACACATATTCTCACACACACACACACACACACACACAAAATCTAAAAATATATAAATAAATAAAAAGAAGAATAGAAGATTCCTAAGGAAGGATTCCCATTATGTGGTGAGTGTTTACTCGAACGGTGCCAAGGCCAATTGTCAGCAGCGGTCAGGATGATATCATGGAGGGAGAACTTAATACCCAAGAGGCTTGTGGGTGGAAATCAGCTTTGTTTACTTAATTAAAAATGGCAGGTAGGATTTGGTTCCATAGTTTTGTGTAGAAAGGACCATGCAGGGACACTAATGCTCTACACGGACACAGAGATACACAGCCACCCACACAGGGATTGGAAGGGTGGTTGGTCTCGGCCTCTTCTTTTAACACAATACAGATGTAGGATCTTGATTTGAGCCAGTTTTCTACAGCAGGAAATGAATCCTGCAGCAATAGGAAATGTGATGATGAGGGAAATAAGTATTTGACCCCTTTGCAAAACATGACTTAGTACTTGGTGGCAAAACCCTTGTTGGCCATCACAGAGGTCAGACGTTTCTTGTAGTTGGCCACCAGGTTTGCACACATCTCAGGAGGGATTTTGTCCCACTCCTCTTTGCAGATCTTCTCCAAGTCATTAAGGTTTCGAGGCTGACGTTTGGCAACTCTAACCTTCAGCTCCCTCCACAGATTTTCTATGGGATTAAGGTCTGGAGACTGGCTAGGCCACTCCAGGACCTTAATGTGCTGCTTCTTGAGCCACTCCTTTGTTGCCTTGGCCATGTGTTTTGGGTCATTGTCATGCTGGAATACCCATCCACGACCCATTTTCAATGCCCTGGCTGAGGGAAGGAGGTTCTCACCCAAGATTTGACGGTACAAGGTGCCGTCCATCGTCCCTTTGATGCGGTGAAGTTGTCCTGTCCCCTTAGCAGAAAAACACCCCCAAAGCATAATGTTTCCACCTCCATGTTTGACGATGGGGATGGTGTTCTTGGGGTCATAGGCAGCATTCCTCCTCCTCCAAACACGGCGAGTTGTTGATGCCAAAGAGCTCGATTTTGGTCTCATCTGACCACAACACTTTCACCCAGTTCTCCTCTGAATCATTCAGATGTTCATATGCAAACTTCAAACGGCCATGTATATGTGCTTTCTTGAGCAGGGGGACCTTGCGGGCGCTACAGGATTTCAGTCCTTCACGGCGTAGTGTGTTACCAATTGTTTTCTTGGTGACTATGGTCCCAGCTGCCTTGAAATCATTGACAGGATCCTCCCGTGTAGTTCTGGGCTGATTCCTCACCGTTCTCATGATCATTGCAACTCCACGAGGTGAGATCTTGCATGGAGCCCCAGGCCGAGGGAGATTGACAGTTCTTTTGTGTTTCTTCCATTTGCGAATAATCGCACCAACTGTTGTCACCTTCTCACCAAGCTGCTTGGCGATGGTCTTGTAGCCCATTCCAGCCTTGCGTAGGTCTACAATCTTGTCCCTGACATCCTTGGAGAGCTCTTTGGTCTTGGCCATGGTGGAGAGTTTGGAATCTGATTGATTGATTGCTTCTGTGGACAGGTGTCTTTTATACAGGTAACAAGCTGAGATTAGGAGCACTCCCTTTAAGAGTGTGCTCCTAATCTCAGCTTGTTACCTGTATAAAAGACACCTGGGAGCCAGAAATCTTTCTGATTGAGAGGGGGTCAAATACTTATTTCCCTCATTAAAATGCAAATCAATTTATAACATTTTTGACATGCGTTTTTCTGGATTTCTTTGTTGTTATTCTGTCTCTCACTGTTCAAATAAACCTACCATTAAAATTATAGACTGATCATTTCTTTGTCAGTGGGCAAACGTACAAAATCAGCAGGGGATCAAATACTTTTTTCCCTCACTGTATGTACATCAAATCTCCTCACAATGGATTAAATCAACTCACCTGTACCGTTTCCAACTGTCTGAAGAGTGGTGTCAGGCCCCATAGTGTCATAATCATCTTTCATTTCATCTGTGGAGAAAAGAGGGAAGGGAGGAGGGGAGGAGAAAAGAAGTTCAGTTCAATGTTCAGTGCTGTAGTGTACCAAGCAAACCCAAGCCTCACAATGAAGCCTTCAGAGGAAGGTACGGAGATATAAAGGGCTTGCTGTGTTGCACTGTGCCAAGGCTTTGTGTGGCATTCTTAATGAATGCTATCATCAGGACCAGACAGAGCCTTATTTACCTTAAAAACAACAAGCAGTGGGAAAGAAAGCTGCTCTGCCATTCCGGGGGTAGCGAGAGTCGCCAGAAAGAAAGATTAATTCAAGAAGCCAGCCCCATCCACCTGAACAATCAGACAGGAGTAACTGGCACAAAAGGCATTGCAGTTGTTATTCCCTCACTGTGACACTACTAACAATCTACATGCGGCAGAAAAAATAACAAACTATACAGGGAGTTTTCACAGAAAAACGTGGGCTGTGGGCTTAGACTCTATTACCAATCAGTGTAATGCATAGTCTTAGGAACGACAAGGGCAGACTTGCATTTTGTCCTGGCACAGGTAAGACAGCCATAAATAAAGGACCCCAGATTGACAGACAGGCTCATAAACAAGGGAGAGAACAACTTTTGACATTGGTGGGTAAATTCTCTTGCCGTATAGGCGGCGAACAAGAGGACATTGTTGGTGTTCAAGTCCACAGACAATTAACTTAAGGAGTCCTCTGTGACTCCTTCCTTCCGTCCTGTCTTTGAAAATTAAATCAAGGTACTTCCGAGAAGATAGTGGCTGGTAATAAAAATGGCTCCTGTCTCTCTCTGTTTCTCCTTGTTCTAGCCATGTGATTTCTATGGTCTCAAGGATACTGTGTTGCCATGGAGGGGTAAACAAACAAATCAATGGATTAAGGGAATAGAGGAACTCTCTTCTTTACTGTCTCTTGCACCTTGAACTTAACAGAAAACATTTTGGAAATTAGTTTAAAAAGTAGCTGACAAGTTGTGTAAAATCGTCCTAATTTTTTGAGGGCTGCATTGTCATTGAATTAGCAATCACGAATCATACGCAGAAAAACTAATATATTATACAATATATATACCGTATATTTTCGTGTAGAGCAAAAAATCAGTTGTTTTAATGGTTGGTTCATTTCAATCATTAAGAGAGGCTTTTTTTCTGTTTATTTCGCTTGAAGTGAGACGGTTTCCTTCTGCACCAAACAGATAAAAAACCCAGCCAATAGCTTCAGAGAATAAAAAATGGACTCTTTTGAATGAAAAGTACTCAACTTTCCCTTGACATGAAGCTTGACTGTGTGGTGGATAAACTTGCCAGCCATTTTTCATTTGCATATGAGGGGGTTTGGAGTGCCGTTGTCTTCACAGTAATGACATCAAACCAGGCTGCACTCTAAGGAAATGGCCCTTTAGCAATATTGTTGAAGATACACTGGAGTATTGTGAGCAATCAAAAAAATCCTCCAACACAGCCACAAATATAATTCTGGTGTTTAAGAGACCAGCATATATGAATAGTTACTTTTTTGTTGTTTATAATTTACTGAATGTTAATCAAGCTCTCTTTTCCTCTTTCCCTCATGTCTCTTTTTCCTGGAAAGTGGGCGAGTTCGCATGGATGCAGCCATTTTGGTTTTTACAGCCTTTAGTAATCCAATTTCACTGTATATTTTTGATATGAGTCAAGGAGCACAAGAGGGGATTTGCCTTTTGTCCCTTTTTCTTCCCTCTTTACCTTGAAAAGTCCCTATTATCTGTATGTGGTCAAGGAATGAGAGTGAGAGAACTTCCAGCAGGAGGTAGGCTAAGACCACTTACACCTACCTCACTTCTATGGCCCTTTGCAAAAAAAAACTTTTTGGGCCATTTCTATTGCTTCTGACAGCTACACATCCATTGGAGAGAGCCAGTTTTTATAGTTGAAAGTGTAATGTGAGTCGAGAGCCAGTCTGCTCTTTCTGTCTGTCTCTACCTGATAAATCATGTAAGGAGAGGGGGAGTGTGAGAGAAGGCCTGCACCTCACTGAAAGACGGTGTTTAAGTTTCTGACTGCGACCCAGGAGGGGTCCAGAATACCTTTCCCCTGCCATAAGTTCACCTATTTACTTAACGCCATTGATGCTGTTTGTTTTGAAAACATTCCTATTTTTATGGCCAGTTACCATTGGAACAGGGCGCAATAAAAACACAGGTCCTCCTCCTCCTTTCTGTTAGTTTTCTGAAAGTCCTTGAACAGGGCCGGGCCAGGAGAAGAAAGAGACAAGGACAGAAAGGAGAGAATGCAGGTGATTTATTCTAGAATCTCTGTCAGTGATAGTGAAGTCATGGATTCCAGCACACTGCGTCCACCACCCCATTGTGGGACGAAAGAATGTCAAGGACAATTCTAGAACACACAACTCTGATTGTGCTGGCACCGGAAAGGCACAGCTAAGAAACTTTTGCAGTGCTCTTCAGTTCAAAACCTGTATCCTTTGGACAGAGTACTAAAGCTGATGTAGAAAAGGCAGGGAGAAAAGCACAGCTTATCTCAGGGTAAAGCTATGTGCTGAGGTATCATTGTAGACAGTAAGGCACCGTGAAAGAGGAAAAAAGACAGACAAACATAGTGCCCACAAGCTTGGGAAAGAGAAGACTCCCATCATCTACACTAATTAACTACACTAGGTCTCAGAAATATGGCAGACAAGACGTTTTATCACATGAGAAGCAGATTATCTGGGAAATGTAACATAAGTGAATTACAGACATTAAGGCACCACAGGCTTTTATCAAATAAACAATTACTGTATGCTTTGACTACTTGTTTATTTTTTATCTTGATTTATTTAAACGTTTCTATTTTTAAAGAATCAAACCCCATATGAACTGTTACTAGTGGGGCAGAAATATAAATATCCATAAACATAGCAAAATAATACATCGATTGTCTACGACAACTATGTTTCCGATTTTCATGTCGATAATCAGTAACCACAAAGTGAACTTCCTCCTTTTCAATACATGATAATTTTTTGAGCGTATTAACATTTTAGACCATGGAATATTTCCCCCTTTTCAGCACTCTACAGAGCCCAGTTCATTAGCAGAAATGAATAGCTAACACCGGCTCATTTAAATGGGGTGTCTTACATGAGTTCTCGCCACACTCTGTTTCTGTCACACCGCTGCAAGAATCATTGACTCTTATTATACATGTAAATGGCTATCATAAAAATAAAAATTTCATTTAAGATTGTTAATGACTTTTGCAGCAGTCTGGCTTCCTTTAATGATTATCCCCTAGCCCTAATTAAAAGTATTTATCTTTCAAGCATCCATGACTAGGCTCTCTGCTATCAGTGATGCTCCGAAGGAAAAAAAATGGAAGGCGCCACCAAAGTTGTATGTATCACCTGCCTGCAATGATCTAAACTAGATTATTAGCAAATTAAGATATATCAATCACATACTGAAGGTTTGATCATATTGCGATAATATAGACAATCAAAAGAGGTAATTCTAAGAAAATGTCATGTATGCTCTGAATTTTATGATTGAAAAGCTATCTGTTAATATCATTTTATGTAACTCTGGTTTATCTTAGTGAGGATAAAGATTTAGCGTTGGGACGAGCTGGGTGAGTTTCAGTCATGTGGGGTGTAGGAATCTCCACCATACTTCTGCCATCTTAAATGGCACCATCATACGTTTCCTTTTCATCATCAAGTTACAGTAATGTCTCCTGACTCTGCTTGCCCCTGTCAACTCACTGCATGTCAAAACGTGGTTTGATCTCATCCACTTCTTATGACTGCCAGGCGCGGTCAATCACTTCCCATGTTACTGTGGAGGTGGTGGTGGTGAAGGGGGGAGGAGTTGGCTTAACCAAAATAAATCGGAAAAATTTTGGCCGTAATCCACGCGCGTGTGTGTGTGCATGTGACACTCACCAGTACCGTCGACTGAGGCGTGCAGCATGTCGTTGTCATGCCAGACATGGTCTACTCCGCTGTCCCTCATGTCATCGTCCTCATCCTCCTTTGTCATCAGGGCGTGGCCCACCCTCGGGGATCCAGCGTCGTGGTTGGTCAGGCTGGCAGGGCTGCCCACCCCGTTAAGTAGGCCGTCCTCCTCCGATACCAACAGCTTGTCCTCATCCTCTGTCTCTGAACCAGTATCCATCACATTCTCATAGTTCAACGCTGCAATGAGGGAGAACACAAAACAAAAGAAGATGGGTCACTACAGAGGAATTCCCATTTGGTGCTCATCGTACTGACCCTGAAATGGAAAACAGGTCATAGAGGATTATGTCCTTAGATGAAGTCATGATTGCACTGCACTGTTAAGAGCTAGTAACACAAGCATTTCGCTGCACCTGTTATAACATCTGCTTAACTGTTTACGTGACCAATAAACTTTGATTTTATTTGATTACAGGTTAAACCCATCCCTGTTTGGGACATGGCCCCTTTCTTGTGGGGGTACATCCCAATTACAACAACACCCACCGTGATAGTCTGGTATCTGTAACTTTAACCATCATGGTGTGTGGAGTCAGTCAGCTGCTAGGTAGACACTCCAAAATAGCCACTCATTTTCTCTTGCAGTAGACTGCCTAAGATGCCAACCTAGCTACACCTTTCAGTTGGGCTCACAGATCTAAAGCATACCCGACGTGGCTGAGATACTCTGCACTTCTGATATTTACAAATGTCACATAGTCATACCACCCTGGATTGAAACGGCTTAAACCCTAGTCATTTCATCATATTCACCACTCCTAAATAAGTGACGCACCTACTGTACTGTATTTTCCCCCAGAACTTGACAGATATCAATCGTCAAGTCAGACCTTTACAATGATAAATGAAACAATACATATAAAATACCCCTAACTTAATCAAAACAGGACCTGCATCCCACTCCTTTCCCTCCGTTCCCTCTCCTCTTGTCTTTTTCAGGGAGTGTTTTCAATGAGTCATGGTTGCGGAGAGAAATACTGCGCAGTCAAGCCCCACATTAAAATAACTCACACAAGTAGCAGCCCGCTTGATTCCACAACACTTGGTCCCAGACACATGGCAGCTTTTCTTAAAATAGACACCCTGTAAATAAGGGCTGTGAACTCAATGGAAGGTGGCTGTTTATGAATTAGTCTGCCCTCACAAGGCTGGTTCTCTAGCCTCTCCAGTCTACACACAAGGTCCATAAATTGTCTGTCCTACGAAAGAAGTCAAAAGACTTATTAGAGGAATAAACACGGGACATTAGCTCAGCTAGAGAAACAGGACCGCCACACCACTGCATCATATACAGACACACCTCACTGCTAGTTCCTAAAACACCACTCTGGAGAAACACGCTCACAGCAACCACAGAGGGGGGAAATCAGAGTATGACATCATGGGAACCAATTTCAAATGTGGCTAGGGGAAGGCGAGGAAAAAGCAGAGTGCAAACATTTTTAAGGTCCATTTTAATTGCTGTACTCTAGCTATATATGACTAATAAATAAAAACCTTAAACCATAAAACCTTCGTAATTTCCAAAACTGAGAAGGGAGAATAAATCTGATATTTGTTTGTTATATACCAAGATTACACTGAGCATATACAGTATGTTCATACATGATCTTTGTATAATCCACGGGTCTGCACTTGCCTTCCGAACAACAGGTGCAAATTAAAATGAAAACGGCTGCAGAGACAGGGCCAGCAGAATCAGCTGACCTGGTTAGAATACCAATTGACGGCGGAAACAAAACCTTTTCAAGAGGTGTGACCACAAGGGTTTAGGCAAGTTCAGACTGGGTAATGCCCTCAGACATGAAAAAAGAGAAAGCCAAAGAAAAAGAAAAGCCAAAAAGAAAGTGAGACATTCAAACTCCTGCTGTGTGGTCCCAGATATACCTTGGCGCACAATTGATAATGTGTTATTATTATATTTCCCCTTTGTTCCCTTCCTAACTTACCCCAAAACCCCCTAACCCCCCTCATCCCAGAGATTTAACCATTTCTTAGCAACACAACGTGCTGTGGACTCCCTACTCCCCTTTCTCCCAGGAGGGTTTCTAAGGGTGGCCTAGCAGGCGGGCGGCAGGGGGTAACAAAGAAGCAGGAGGCCTGGGAAGCTATTACCCCGCCCCTGCAGACCTGATCTCTGGACACAGCCTGAATACCGACAGGCCCAGGAGGAGTGAATTACATTATCTAAGGATGGACAGGTTTTAAAAGGCCTTTCTTTACACCCCAAAACTCTCATAGGGCGTTTTTCAGTGTGCTATAGGTCTATGTATAGCGTATAGGTTAATGCATGAAGAGAGGCGATACAATGTGAAGTCTTCAACATTTAGCAACGGAGCTGGAGACAATGGGCCTTGGACATAGAGGAGAGGTGAAGATCATCACACTCTCTGCAAACCTCTAGACATCTACAGTTGTCCAAACCAAACCATGAAAGCTACTAACGCCAGGTTGGGGTTCTGTGCTTCCATACAGGTCTACATGTTCAGGGGAGAGGTAGGGAGCAGGAGAGGGGAGCTCACTGGAACATTGGCAATCAGACACAGCAATACTCACCAAAGAGCTTGGAGAAGACAGAAATGACAGTGTGTAACTTGTCAATCAAAGAAGCAAGTAGCATTGACTTCAGAAAGCCTGCTTTGTTTAGGTGACATCTCTGGCAGACGCCTCAGTATACTATAAGCACCAGTCTGACGTTGGGCATTGTACTCCAAAACAAAGTCATTTCGAACTAACTAATGTTAGCCTACACTATGCCATTATTTTGTTCTATACCTCACTGCTAATCAATCTTTTGTGTTTCTAGATGAGATAGACAAAGAAATCATGTTTACTTTCTAGGCTACGTTTTCTTTCAGATGACACTTTCTATGTTTCTCCTCCTTTAGTTTAAGTGCCACCCTCAACAAAGGCAATTATAGCTGGCATTTTGACTGATGCTACCTGTTACCAGCTGATTTTACCAGCTCTCTTTTTTCTCCTGATTGGAGGTAAATAAAGGGAACGTCTTTTACAGATAATTAAAATGACACTTGTAATTGCTCTCTTGAGTCTTGCTTAAACATGTCTGACATAACCCTTTCAGAACTCTGGTATTAGAACCCTTTCAGAACTCTGGTATTAGAACCCTTTCAGAACTCTGGTATTAGGCTGTCAGGCATACCAGTACAGATGGCAGTTCCAATAGTGTATTGATTATGATGACTATAACCTTCCAAAATGACAGTTTTTGTTGAAGGATGAGAGAGAGAGAGTTATCCTTTCAATGTCTGTGACAAAAAGAAGGAGTCTGATTGAAATCTCATCATCTTTCTTAAAACAAAGAAATAAAGACATTTGACAATCAATATTTCTGCTGTGACAGTTTCTCTGTACCATTATAATAAAAAAGGGCATATAAAGTACTCTAAAATGGAAAGTATTCTTCCAAAGAGAAAAGACAGCATGTTAAGAACAAAAAATATGACTATGTTTTACTGTTGAGCTGTTAAACTAACCATAACTCTCACAATATGAAATCTGTGTGTCATACACTCAGACATCAATCATACAACCTCTGAGTCATACAATGACCATCTGAACATACCCAAAACACACACTCAAATAAACATACCTTGGATGAATGTGCCGCAAACGTGCATCTGTGTGCCTACACTTTCCCTTTCCCTACGCTCTTCCACAAAGCCCTCTCAACAGGTTCCCAAGCTGGGTTGCACTGGATCCGCACTCCATCCATAACGAACAACCCAGACAAATATCCAAATAACCACTTTAGAACACGAGACAGAAGGCGCCAGAATATCTATTCCACCCCGTGTGTCTCTATGTCCATCGCAGTACCCTATATTTGGAGGCAGAGACTTTCCAGTTTCTAGCCAGCTTCCCATAGAGGTGATGGAGAAAGGTGGTAGGTGACTCACACTGAAAGCCTGGCTAACTGGCCATTGAGGCTTAGCTCCAGGTAATGTTGTGTTTCCTGTAGCTATCAGTGGCAGTAATGAGCAAGGACATTCACCCTATTGGAGGATAACTGCCCTGTCTCATGAATGAGAAACATGCAGATCACCTGAATGGCTAGGAGGGCAGAATGGGAAGGGGGGGTGGGGGGTAGAGGTGAAGAACAGGGGGATAGGGGAGGTAGAGAGGCATTAAGGTAGAAATGAGGTCATAGCCTTGTGGCTACCCCACTGGAAGGGGGTTTAACAATGACATTTTAACTGTCATAATTCATTTTCACAACAGAGTTTAGGGCTCTGAGTAGGCCATTCCGTGAATAATCATCCTTTTAGGGTAGGAAGCGTTTGGGGGTTGTAGGTGGGAGGAACGGAGGGAAGGTTTAAATATATTCTTCTGTCTTCGGAATTTTAAATATGGCTAACTTTGGATTTTTACTCATTAGGAGTACTGGCTGTTTTACATTCATTACATACCGAAAATGCTTGTGACTGTCTGTCTGTATTCCAGTGAGATAAACAAGAATGCTTGAGATCTTGTCCAAGTCTACTAGGCTGGTGTTCCACAGGGGCCATAAGCAGTAACAGGACTGGCAGAGGGCAAACAAAGAGCTGAAAGGAGAGGAGCAGCTTTGTAGAGGCGATGAATGGTCAAAATTCAGCGATGTGTAAACCAACCTGGGAGTGGGGAGTGTGTGTGTGTGTGTGTGTGTGTGTGTGTGTTTGTGTATGTGTGTGTCTCTCTCTCTGTGTCTGTTTGCATGGGAGTGAGTGGTGAGTGATTCTGAGTGTGTCAGGAAGGGGTTGGTTATGTTTAATAATGTCTGCCATGAGGCACCCACAGTAGCCTGACTCTAATTGAATTAAACTCCCATTTATTTGCAGAGGCCTGAGCAACAGGCTGGAAAAAGAAAGCTTAAAGGTTTGCTCAACTGCTTAGAGGGCCCACCTTTACTCGCCCTGTACAGATCCACCATCTGTGCATGCCTGCGTTCCTCCTCCTCGACAAATGTTCTGGGCCCCCTCCTCCCCAACGCAGGAGCCAAAAACAGGGGGGGGGGGGGGGGGGGGGGAGGCAAGACACACAAAAGCTCCCTAGACTGCCCTCAGGACTCGAGGCAGAAAGCCGGGGAGTAATGTTTTTTTTTTTTTTTAAATAAAAATAACAATCTCCTAAGATCACCGGCTCAGGTGAGATCGATTTCCAGCGAAAGGTTCCTCTGGCTGC